GGGGGGCTTTCCAGGCAGAGGTGGGGATGGTTCCCTGGAGAGAGATGGGGCATTTCTGATTGTGGAGGCGGCTGCCCTTAGTGGGGTACCCTTCTTGAGCCTAGTAGATGGCCTTTGTCACTAACCACCCTTTCTCTCCTCTCTCTTCCCTCCAGGGTAACAAGATGCTCAACTACAGTACTCCCAGTGCTGGGGGCTGCCTGCTAGACAGGAAGGCAGTGGGCACCCCTACCGGTGGGGGCTTTCCCCGGAGGCACTCGGTCACCCTGCCCAGCTCCAAGTTCCACCAGAACCAGCTCCTCAGCAGTCTCAAGGGCGAGCCGGCCCCAACCCTGAGCTCTCGGGATAGCCGTTTCCGAGACCGCTCTTTCTCAGAAGGGGGCGAGCGACTGCTGCCCACCCAGAAGCAGCCTGGGAGTGGTCAGGTCAACTCCAGTCGCTACAAGACAGAGCTGTGCCGCCCCTTTGAGGAGAATGGTGCCTGTAAGTACGGGGACAAGTGCCAGTTCGCGCATGGCATCCATGAGCTCCGAAGCCTGACCCGCCATCCCAAGTACAAGACGGAGCTGTGCCGCACCTTCCACACCATCGGCTTTTGCCCATATGGGCCCCGCTGCCACTTCATCCACAATGCCGAGGAGCGCCGTGCCCTGGCCGGGGCCCGGGACCTCTCCGCTGACCGTCCCCGCCTCCAGCATAGCTTTAGCTTTGCTGGGTTTCCCAGTGCCGCTGCCACCGCCGCTGCCACGGGGCTGCTGGACAGCCCCACGTCCATCACCCCACCCCCCATCCTGAGCGCCGATGACCTCCTGGGCTCACCCACCCTGCCCGATGGCACCAATAACCCCTTTGCCTTCTCCAGCCAGGAGCTGGCGAGTCTCTTTGCCCCTAGCATGGGGCTGCCTGGGGGTGGCTCCCCGACCACCTTCCTCTTCCGGCCCATGTCTGAGTCCCCTCACATGTTTGACTCTCCCCCCAGCCCTCAGGATTCTCTCTCGGACCAGGAGGGCTACCTGAGCAGCTCCAGCAGCAGCCACAGTGGCTCAGACTCCCCCACCTTGGACAACTCAAGACGCCTGCCCATTTTCAGCAGACTTTCCATCTCAGATGACTAAACCCCAGGGTAGGGAGGGACCCCCTGCCCACTCCACCCCCCACCCTCACCCCATACCCACATCCCCTAGCCTCATCTCCCTACCCTACAACCCCTACATTAACAAGGTTAAGCTCAACCCCTTTCCCCCAGAACCTTGGAATACCCCTCCCTCTTTCCCCTTTTAACCTCCCTAACATAAGGACAAGTCAATTTGTCAGTAGCTTCCTCTGGCTTGAAACCCCCTCCCCTTGATTTTATAGCCCACTTACCATGCATAACAGACAAGTCTCATATTTGTCAGTAGATGCCTTTTTTCCGGCTTAAGCCTTAAGTGCCAAATCACAAAAGAAAAAAGCAGTAACAGTTTACAGAAGCAACTTAGTGCCTTGTAATCTAACTTTGTCACTGTGACTACATTACCTCTTCAGCGCCAGAGGGCACCCGTGGGCCTCCCGGAGCCTCTGCCCATGGTGGGGAGGGGAGAGGACCCAGAACCAGTAGCTCCCTCCGCTGGCGATACAACTGCACCTTCCCTACTTCAGTCTCCCACACACTTCTCCCCTCTCCCCAGTATCCCCCCACACCCCTTTGGGAGAGTTGTTGCCAGACTTGGGTTTTAGGGAAACCTATATTGACATTCAAAACCTTTTTCTTCCCGACCTGAACCTCTGTTGACTAATCTTGCCTGGGTTGGTGTAGATCTACAGGAAGGAAGACAGAAAAAGTGGATGAAGATTGTGACATTAAGTGGGACTTTGCGATTAATTTTTTTCTTTTTTCTTTTTAAGTGGGGAGGAAGGGGAAGCTAGATGGACTATGAGAGACTTGATTTTGGTGCTAAAGTTCCCCAGTTCATATGTGACATCTTTAAAAAAATAACAACAAAAAAATTGAGAGAAAAGCTAAAAAAAAAAAAAACATGTAAGGGTTGAGAGTTAATGGTATTCATTCCACATACAATATCTGTGTAAAACGATTTCCCGTAGAAGTAGCTTTAATGGTTTTTGCTCTAGAATACCGTAGGTCTATCCTTAGAGCACTCACGCCATGCTTTTTTCCCTGGGTTTTAAACTTCATATAACTTTCAGAAATTGGAGAGCAAAAATTTTGCTTGTCACTGCACATCAATATAAAAAAGCTTATTTAACTTATCAAAACGTATTTATTGCCAAACTATGCTTTTTTTTTGTTAATTTTGTTCATATTTATCGGGATGACAAATCCATAGAATATATTCTTTTATGTTAAATTATGATCTTCATATTAATCTTAAAATTTTGTGACGTGTCTTTTTCCTTTTTTCCACAGTTTTAATATATTATTCTTCAACGACATTTTTTGTAACTTTACACTTTTTTTGGTTATTTTATTTTAAAAAAATGAAAAATTAATTTAAAAAAATGCAAAAAACTGTTGGATTATTTATTTTAGAAAATTTCCCCCTTTGTGTTGGACTGCAAATTGAGTTTCTTTCTCTTTAGGCCTTTCACAACTAGGACTGAGAATGTATGTAGAAGTTCTGTGACAGTACAGAAGGAAAACAACTTTTTATGTATAGCTTCTAAAAGGGAAAAAAAAAAAAGAAACCCTTTGACTTCCACGTGCCCATCTCAAGACATTCCGATCGCAGATTTGAGGTTCTGGATTCCAGGTTTAGAGTTTTCCAATGTTAATGCAAACAGAACTGGCACACACACATTAAGATGAATGTAATTATTATTCCTCTTGCTGGTCACTACCGTCGCTTTCTATTTCTCTTTCTTTGTGTGAATTTATTTAAAAAAAAACTTTTTGTAACGACTATTTGCAGTTTAAAATCAATAAACCCCGTTTTTTTTCAAGAAACCCTGATGATGAAGCTGGTTTTACTTGGTTTGCCGTTTATTCTGTAGATTTGTCTCCTGAATATGTTGCAGATGGTGGTGGTGGTAGTGGTGGAGGCGGTGGAGGCATTGTCTGGTTTCTTATACTTAGAGCTACACCAATGGTTGGCTCCCTTTGTTGATGCTGGAATTCTACTGGGCATAGAGGGGATGAGGTGGAGGTTTATTGCAAAGCATACTATGTATTACCTGCCCAGCGTGTTGGTTGTTGACAAGGGGCCAGCCTTGCCTAGCTATGTGGCCTTGGAAGTTCTTCAGGAGAGCCCAAGGCACAGGGACTTAAGTCTTCTCTGCTCAGCCTGTGGTCTTAATTCCTTTGGGGGATGTTGGGGCTGCCAAAATGTTGAAGGAGTAACGTAGCACATGGCACCCCAGCGAGCCTGGATTTGTGTGAGCTATTTGGGTGCTTCCAGGCTCAGTTTTCTCAGGACATTGACCTGAATCACTATCCTCTCAGCCTACCTAGGATGAGTGTGATGAAGTGCTGTAGGCTTGGAGAGGAGCATCCAGGGTGGTGAGGGGCTCAATCACCACACTGGGTTCTGGGTTCGGGTGGTTTCACCTGGATTTGACATTTGCTTCTGTATAGGGAGGGCTGTTAAGGGGAAGTGGGTATTAAAAGGGCAGCATAACAGGAAGTCAGTAGGTTCCACTACCTTACTGTTTTTTACACCCTGATGCTATACAAAGTAGGTAAGGTGTCACCTTGGGAATGGTGAGGTCTCCTTTCTAGAAGCACCCCAGCCAAGGCCAGATGTTCACTTTGAGGGGATGTTTTGCTTGCCAGAGAGGTTTGATCCTGCAAACCCTGAGTGGTTCTTGGGAGGATTTTTTTGCGGAGAGGCAGGGATGGATATTATTACTGGAGGCCTGGCTGCCTTCTGTTCCTTGTATCCAGTACATTTTGGGGGGTAAGCTGAATTTCCACCTTGACTAT